AGATTCACATGGTGGGTTTTGTAGAGAAGAATGGTTTTTAAAATATGTAGGAAACTATTTTATTGATGGATGAAATTACAAAAGAAGGGAGAGAAATCCCAAACGAAAGGAGTTATAAAAGCTTCTCCAATTGGTAGGAAGAGATAAAGGTGTGTAGGATTTAAAAAGAGGTAACAATTTACACCAACAAGATATAGCCAAGTACGTAATACTATCCAGAAGGTGCTCAAAAGGCATTTCCTTGGCCTGAAAGGTTCTGTGGTTTGTTCGTTGCATGTGACCTAAAAGAAGGCTTTGATGAAGTTAACCCAAGGATATCTCTTCTCATTTTTAAAGGGATACCCCAATGAAGTGGAGCAAGGAGAAGGTGAGCTAGCTCGGGGAAGGGAGCCGTCCATTCAAAGTCACTCACAAGGTATGTCCAGAATAGTGTGGCAAAAGAGCACCAGTGTGTGAAATAGCCATTTAAGACATGCAACGTTGAAGCTTTTCATGTGTTGTTGGGGCAATAAACAATTTCCCAGAAGAAGAATTGTGTTTGCTTCCGATATGGGTCTGTGGAGAAGAATGGTTAGGAATTGGTTTAACTAATAAAAAGGTAAGTCTTATTGGGACTGGTGACATTTATGAAGATTCAAACTTATAGGGGAAAGAAAGAACTCAACTCCTACTCCAAAATATAGAGCAAGGGTAGGGCACAGCTTCCATTTCGAAGTACAATTCTCAACCTCGACGCATTCCTCCTTCATTTAAGGATCTTAAAATGAACAGAGACTTCTCTATTGTAAACTCATCTAGAGTAACAAAGAGATTGGCTTTCAAAGAAAGTTGATGTACTAAAAAGGTTGTACCTTACCCTAAAGAATGATATCAAAGGAGAAGGTGAATATGTTTTTCAAAGTCATCGACTAGTGAAAACATCAAAAGGACGTCTTTGAAATTATGAACTTTTGATATATCTGCTTCTGAATCCCATTTCTCAAAGTGACCCACTAAACACTGATTCAGCATAATTATTGTAAACCCATGAATTCAGATGAAATCCAAGTTCATTAAAATAAACAGGGATCTAACTATTTCACATTATTGGAAACTCGCAGTATTGGTTTGTAGCCACCACAAGAGATGGGAGCAATTTGCAAAAGATAGAATCTCAGATAGTCTGGAACTCACATTTCAACAACGCCCTAAAAGGCCTAAACATTTTCACCACTGCCTCCTGATTCCACGTCTTTCAAACTCTCAGCCAACATTCTTGCCCTGTTCTGTAATTGTCTCTCTTGAGCAACCATATAAAAACCTAGACAAGTGATAATCATTATCAAGTTAGAAAGTTTTGTCATACCTTATATGAAGATAAAGAATGATGCTCTGAATTAATTAGATGGAAACTGTGTAAAAAGGACTTCAAAATCACTTCAAACATGCCTTTAATCACCCAAATCAATTTAATGCTTAATCTTACACATTTAAATGCAGATTTCAGACCATCAAATTGATTCTTGAACGATTAAAAACATGTTTTAGAGTGATTTTGAACATGATAAAAGCGATTTAAACTCTTTCAAAATCTCTCTCAAATATGCCCTAATATGGCTTACCGACTGCACTTCCTAGGGCACAGACCCAGAGAACCCTCATGGACCATTTGTCACCAATAACTCCTCTGCCTCCCATTCCTTTCTGCAAAGAACGAGAAAATAGCCTACCTTAGTCATTACAGCACTAAGAGAGCCAAGCCTCCTAAAGGGTCAAAGAACATGACACGGTAGGTTCATGTTTTACTGTTTGGAGCCCCTGAATTTGGGAAGATTTCAAATCCGTTCTGATTCGAAATATTTCTTCTATATTCAAAAAATAGATTTAAGCCTCCCTACAACAGTTATGAATCAATGGTTTCTTCTATACTCAAGCAAACTCAATGTCTTTCAAACAAACTCTGATGCCTTTTTAGCTTTATGTTTTCATTTGGATTGATTGAAAATTGGTTGAAGCAGAAATCAAAAACAAAAAAAACAAAAAAAAAAAAACGCTTGTTTCGATGTTCTTCTTCGTGGATGAACGAATAAATCAATGAAACAAACTAAAAAAATAAAACAAAAAATGCAAAACCTTGGGCTGAATCTGAAAATGAGCGGCGGCGCAACCACACTAACGGCGCGGGTTAGGGGCTGACGGAGATAAGTAACTCTGATTGCACGGAGGCGAGAGAATGTGAGAAGGAGATAGCTGCGTAGAGTTCGTCGGGAGGCTGAGACGCGCGTCCGGCAGGGTTAGGTTGCAGTAGCTGGAGGTGGGAGGGATGTGCGCTGAATTAAAAATAGGATTAATTAACAAAATATATATATATATTTCATTTATCTCAAAAGTTATAAACTCCACAAAATTAAAAAAAAAAATGTCATTTCAAAAGTACCAATTTTTAATGAGTTTTAAAAATATTTTATAAAAATACATTTGAACTTCTAAAGATTCAAATGAGAGAGTGAAATTAAAATAAATATACTTAGTTTAAAATTAAAAATTTATTTATGTATAACTTTTATATTTAAAAATCTAATAATTAAAAAAAAAACATAAAATACATATTTTGAAACAAATTTGAAAAACTAACACGAAATTAACCCATACTTTAGAATTTAATTAGAAGTGAAAATGGTTTCTTATTTCTATTTGTTTTTTTTTTTTTTAACTAAATTGATTTGGAAATCTTAAATTATATTATAATATAATTTTAGTCTCTAAAATTCAAATTTGGTATATAAAATTTCAAAAGAGACCAATTCAATCCTTGAAATTAGTTTGCATACTCATGGGATTATACTGACATGGCCACTTACTATGCATCAAATTTTATTATTAATAACAAAATAGATTATTATATCAATTAAAATATTAAATTTTCACAAATATATCCTTTAATACCATTTATTATTAATAACAAACTATCATGATCATCACATGCTACAAAGCTACGTGAACAAAGACATCTCAATCATGCAATATTAATGTCATGTTAAGAATTTAATGTCACATTAAGAATAATCAAGGTTCATGCATACTTCAAGTGAAATTTCGTTTATTTAGAGTTATGGTGATTATTTAATATATTTTAAGATGATTAATTATGACCATAAAGTATACATAGTGACTAATTATGTTCTTAAAATATGAAAGTTAAGATTCTTGGAATTTCATGAATGACTTAAGGAGGGTTAAGAGTTTTAATTTTGAAGCTCTATAAAGTCTTAGAAAATGTAGTAAAATGAGCATTTGTGTATTCTTTTAGCCAATGACTAAGTTTCTTTTAATTTTATGTAGTTTAGGTGACATGATCAATTTTACATGTGGAAGTGATTTAAATCTCAAACAAGTGTACTTGTCCTGAAATTTGAGATATTTGATCAACAAGATAATCAAAATCTTACTTCCCATTTAGTGATTCTTTGTCATTTGGTATTAGAACTTTCTTTGAGTTGATTTCTTATCAACGAAGGTCATCATAAATGATCGAATTGGAGAGCTTTCCTTTGTTGGAATCCAAAGACAACATTTAGAAACGTTCGAAGTTCTTGAGAGTGGAACCATGCAGTACCAAACCGCAAAATACACTCTTCTATCACAAGGCAATATCTTGGTCCAATCTTCGTTAGATGGCCGCTGCGGCCTGTAATAAGATGTAGCAAAAACTTGATGAACTAGCCTGGGATTGGAAAGCTTCCCTTTGCTGGAATCCAAAAGACAACATTTGGGAACCATCGTGGTTCTTAAGAGTGAAACCATTCAGTACCAAACACGAGATAATCCTGTAAAACACAGACTCTTCTGTCACAGGACGATATCTGGGTCCAATCTTTGTTAGATGGCAGCTGCCACCTGGAGTGGAACCATGCAGTACCAAGCACGAGATAATCTTGTAAACACAAACTCTTCTGTCACAGGGCGATATCTGGGTCCAATCTTTGCTGGATGGCAGCTGCAACCTGGAGTGGAACCATGCAATACCAAACACGAGATAATCCTGTAAAACACAGACTCTTCTGTCACAGGGCGATATCTGGGTCCAATCTTTGCTAGATGGCAGCTGCAGCCTAAAGTAAGATGTAGCAAAAACTCGAGGAACTAGCCTGAGATTGCATCAAATTAAACTCCAGGAAAACTTCCTTCACATTTATGCCTACCTTAAACTTTTCGAGCTTATACTGGTAAGCCATCTCCTCTCCGAGTCGAGCTTTTTCGCTCTATGAGTAGTTCTTGCCTGAAAAGTAGAGTGAAAATATTAACCGAGCCAACTGACAAAGTTCGAACTTAACCATCTTACTTCAAATCATGTAGTGAGTTATAGAATTGGTTAATGATTTTTAGTAATAGCTTGTTTGCTAGTCTGTTGAACAGCATTTTAGCGCATTTTTTTAGTCTTTAGTTAGTAGATAATTGATCTTGTACCAAGAATTACTTGATATACTTCTGAAAATTGAGTAAAGAATTCCTTTCTTCCATCATCAAAGATCCATGTTCAACCATCAGATGAGCAAAATTCCCAGAAAGAGATGCATTTAATCATCAAAATGAACAGCAGGTGAAGAAAAAGGAAGAAAAGTAGAAGGTACCTCCTCTGTTCTTCATCAGCAAACACATTAAAAATACTGTATAAAGTTCGCACTATAAGAGATATTGATCATAGTAATGTTCCATCTAGCATTCTATGTTCATTTCTTTCTTTCTTTCTAACTTTTCAGACAAGAACGTGGTAGCTGCATACAAAAATCACTCAGAACCTTACTTTTTGGATGGAAAAGTGGCCGTGTAATGGTCCTCCATGAACCTGTACAAACAATCATCACAAGATAGTAAGAGAAACAAACATAATAGCTATCTTAAAGAGTAATGTAACCGTTCAAGTTCACCGCTAGCAGATATTGTCCACTTTTGCCCATTATGTATTGCCGTCAGCCTCACAATTTTAAAACGTATCTGCTAGGGAGACGTTTTCATATCCTTATAAGGAATGCTTTATTCCCCTCTCCAATCAACGTGGGATCTCACAATCCACTCCCTTGGGAGCCTAGCATCCTTATTGACACAGCATACGGTGCCTGACTCTGATACCATTTGTAACAGCTCAAGCCTACCACTAGCAGATATTGTCCGCTTTGGCCCATTATATATCTCCGTCAGCCTCACGGTTTTGTAATGCGTCTGCTAGGGAGAGGTTTCCAACTGATGTGGGATCTCACAAATAACGACTATGTGAGGAGCAAACTAAACATGATCGTCTACTTGCTACTTAAAAACTTAGCTTCTCTTCCCAATTAGCTAGACTTCCCATGTTCACCTAAAAGCAATGTAATATTCAAAGTAATATGATCAGCAACAATACCACAGCTACGAAAGCAGTTGGGTTACAGATTCTTCCGACCTTGGTAGACATTCATGTTCAATCAAACGAATAGGCACACTACGAAAGTAATGAGTCCCATAAACAGCAAAAGTGGGTTATCTGGATTGAGTATTGGAAGTCTTATTTCTCGACGGTGAAATAACATGAAAAACTAATTTGGTTTTAATTAATTCAAATCAATTTAAAGTATGCAATCTGTTCATAAAAATGAAGGAAATTCAACTACTGCATAGAGCAATTGCACTAACTTTGTAGTTGTAAGCCGTAAGATAATGTTACAGATTACAGATGTCATGAATTAGCATGATTGAGCTAATGAAAAATATTGGGCATCAATCAATTTACGATGATGCAATGAACTCCATCAATCAAGAAGTTGTAAGAAAGAGCCAATGGTTCTGCAGAAGAAACCAATATAGAAACTGTTTCACAGTATGATGAATATCAGGTTTAACTGATTACATGCAGAGAGCTTCATCAAAGCCAAAAAGTTGAGCAAGAAAGGAAGACAGTAAGCACAAACCGAAGCATTCATGGAATTCAATCTTCACGTACCAGGTATCAGTTTCTTTGATAATGTTGTACTTTCCGCACGAATTCGTCACTGCTCCTTTCTCTCCTCGTTCCTTCTTCTCCTTCCTCCGTTTCTCTTCCTCCTCCTCTTCAAATCATACTCCAAGCTATCAGATTCGGTATCCTCGGAATCAGAATCCTTCTCACTACTACTGTTTCGTCTACGGGATTTGCGCTTTCTTCTTGAACTCTTCCCACGTTTCTTGTCATGCTTATCAACGAAATCCGAACGGATTTCCTGCGTTTTCGTCCATCGGAGCTCAAATTTTCACGAACCTTCTTGGAATTTCTCTTCGACCGAGCACCGTTCTCTTCTTCTCCTCTTCCTTCGTTGGCTCGTCGAAACGGAACTTTCTCTCTTAGTAAATAGCTCACCGTTTCGATCTGTAGCCATTTTCGCTCGGGATTAGAGAATTACAGGAGAGGGGAAATGGGAGCGGAAAGCCGTACATCCCACATCGAAAAATTTACCGACTAATTTCTGTTATATGATGTGAAGTTAACATTATCGTGAGCGTGTTCTATTAAAGGAGAGATGGTTGGCATCTCCCCTGACAGGGTCGGAAACAGCCTTTTGGCTTCTCAGATAACACAGACGGTTAAGGCTACCCCACCTCTCGTAGGTGGGTCTAACCCAATTACACATTTAGTCAAATCATTAAATTTGAGCGGTTTTGGTTTAAAATTTTGTTTACAATACCTGAAAATAAGAGGTTACATGAGAATGCATCAAAATTTCATATAAATCAGTTATTACAATTAATTCCATTAATTTTACATTTTTAAAAATACGACCAATTGGGTAATATGTAAAAAAAAATAAAAAAAGTTTCGTCATTCAAAGCTCACAGGAGGGACATAGAATATTACGAGGGATTAAACATCATTTAAATCCCTGTCAAACCTTCTAATACCATATCGACAGACGACCTATTAAATACAAAATTAAAATTATGCACAGTTCCAAGACCCCTCTTTTAACTCTAATATTTCAAAGACTTTGTGATTAAACCAACTAAACGACTCAAAACAAAGATGACTACTTCCTCTTGGGCCACTTGAGAGAACTCATATAACATAAACACCAAAACTTCTCTCTATTCAACACCATGTGACAAGTAATGCATGCATCCTAGCAGTTGATTTGCAAGCATGCATTGTTCAATGCAACTAACAATACATAGCAGAATTTCATGTATATTGAAATTAGCAAAGTAAATAATTCTCTAAAGAAAGATGCATTCATAGGAACAGTATTGCAGGAATAAATACAATCTAAAGAAGATACAGAGACATCAACAACTATATGTAACAAAAGAGGAGAGTTTATTTCCAGAGTAGAGAATTCATCTTCAGTTATCAGAGGCTAAAATAAGGAAATTGTGGGAAAGCAGCTTAAACCTCATCAGCCATCTCTACAAGAATTTTTCAATGCTGGCAGTCAAAGTTGCTTTGGGAACTGCACCTATTATTGCCTCCTTTTTCTCACCATCTTTGAAGATAATGACAGTTGGTATGCTTCTGATACCATAGCGGGATGCAACACCAGAGTTGCTATCAGTATCCACCTTGTAAAATTTGAACTTACCAGCATACTGTTTAGATAGTTCATCAACGATCGGATGAATCATGCGGCAAGGCCCGCACCATGGAGCCCAGAATTCGACTAGGACAGGTAATTCGGATTTAAGAACCAGTGAATCCCAGGTAGCTTCTGAAGCAGCAGGTACTGAAACATTCGACAAACATGTGATTTCTTGCAAGCTCAACAAGGGCCCTTTTCGGGGAGAAGAAAGTTCGAGACACAGAAAAAGTAGGTGAAGGTAAATATTATTGACCCAAGAATCAGGTAGCCAACAGAGAATAATCAAAACAGAACATAGATTAAAGCAGAATTTTATGGATAACAAGTTCCTATAATGATCAGACTAAAAAATGAATCCAGTACTGTGACTCTCCAGGATTAATATCAACATCAAAGCAAGTGATCAAGAAAAAAAAAAGTACAACCAATGATACAAAGACCTGAACTCAGAGTCAGTTGAAAGGATCAAACAGAAAATTTCTATGCCCCCTTCCCATGATCTAATAAAAATTGAAATAAGCTCCCCAATATAAAAACAGTCGGAACTCTCTAATTGAATTACATTTTTTAAAAATTGACAAGCAGTTGGATAATACTTCTGAGCTATATACACTACGGACAAAGTGTGTGTGTATGTGCACAAGTGTGTATAATAGAATATAAAGGTAGCTGAAATGCAACATTTCTTACACCTTTTGATGCTTAAACAGCTGTTATTTCATAGCAATGATGTAAGATAACAATCAAAATAAAACGTGCAGGAATGACAACCACCAACACATGCATGTTATCATTTCGATGTTATACCTATTGTAAATGACTCAGAACTTCATGCCATACAAGATAAACACCGACTCCTATGCAAACCAAGATACATAAAGAAACAGGCTCACTCATACACACACAAAAGAGAGGGATGGCGGAACTGGGCAGAACCAGGAGAGAGACAATTAGAACACTTTCTCCCAACATATTGAGCCAATATCAGACCAGCTCCTTACTGACCACTCTCTGCAGCATCGTTAAGACCTAAGCACAGCAGAAACCATCTTCTCAATTAGCAACTACTACTCCTAATGCTAAGTGACAACCTCCCGCCCAGAGACCATCTCTTTCAGTCACAGGTCTCGGTCCCATTCAAGGGTGCATTGACTGAATAGGCTTGTCACTCACCGATTGAGAGTCTACTGATTGCCGAGGGCATCATCTCAGCCTCTCAGGTAATAACATATATTAACGAACTGGAGGGGGAAAAAAAATGATATAAAAGGCCTTACATATATTCAGCCTAGAGAACGGAGCCAAAACAATGACTAAAGACATAACAACATAAAATTTTTCTCCAATCTCATATAATATATATATACCACACGAACTCTTAATAATATGCAGTACATTCCCCTCATTTTCTGCTTAAGTTGGTACCGGAGGCACCTCTCTTCTAACAGCATCAAACCCAGAAATCCTCCACTGGAGAGGTATGGAGCAGGCCTGATATTGGCTCAAAACAATATCATATCAAAATATTTGGAAGCTAAAACGTGTGTAAACAACTCTTTCTGGCCGATCTTTATGGCTAATGGAGTGATTCGTTTACAATTTTAATGCTCAAGCTTTCAATTTCAAATGAAACACATTTATAAGGTCCAATTAAGGCTCTTTAAAATTACTTTTTAAGTGCTTAAAAGCATCTCTTTTCACTCAAAAGTACTTTTTTAAGCACTTAAAGAGTCATTCGACATCAAAATTCATCACAGTAATTTACATCAGATCCAAGCATGTGCATGGATGGGAATACGCAACATCCATATATCCGTCAGGTATCAGAGTATAGAAATATGACAAGTACATAAATTCAAACAGAAAATGATTTGTTATATCATGTCAACATCACTCCACCAACTGATCTCATTCTTTCTTTTTTCTTTCCTTTCTCTCTAATTTATATTAAGCATATACTGAATAGGTTAGACCTGCCTTAAGCTGACGCTTATAAGTTAACTCTAGTGGAACTCTATCATTTGGTTTACTAATTGGAGACGCGATGAGTTTCATGCGAATCTAAACCAAACCAAATCAAACACCAGTAGATACTAACAGCATGCTCTTAAATTCATCAAACTTTCTAGAATTGTTAAAATTTCCTTTCTTCTACCCTCCAAACAACAGAAAAAGACAGAAAAGAAAATTGCAGAACAAAATCCCAACCAATGGCAGCAGTTTCCTGAGCTTCGCAGACGATTCTTCCAGAACGCTGAGCAAATCTGGCATTAGATCTCGCAGATCTTATAGACTGGGAAGTGAAACTGTGACCGATCTTCAAGCCTCTGTACTGCGGGAGGGCGACGGAGCTCCGACGGCCGGAGAAAGCAGTGGAAGCCAAGGCGGAAGAACAGGGAAGAGTGAGGGAATCGAGAACCGTAGCCATCGGAGCAAGGGATTGATGAGCTAGAGTGGTTGCGAGTGTGAGGTCGGGGAAAATTTTGGTAATTTGGGTCTCGTGTTTGATGTGGCAATGAATGGAGGACGAATGGATGAGGGTGCTGGGACAGGCTTACGGCGACGTTGATCCAAGTTCAAACACAGACGAATGGGAATTTGACGCGTGGACTGACGGGTGGCATCCACATTCATGTCCGCGAGTTCGATTGTAAATCTCATATTTTATTTAATTACGAATTTATTACATACAAAATTCAGACATTATTTAAGTTTTGAATTTATTGAAAGTTTAATCATTTTTCTTTGTTTTTTTTTTTTTCTTTTGAATAAAATTACAAATTTCATAAAATTTTAATTTTATATATTTAAACTCTTTAAGACAATTGATTAGGATTTTCATATAGTTGGGTAATTTTTTAAAATTTTTTAATTTGAATGCATATTGTTGGATATGGGTCACGTGAAACCACAGGTTTAAAAAGCTAACGTAAGCCAACTATACAATTTTAATAAACCTAGCCGGTGTTATTACGATTGTAAATGTAACACTGCCAGCAAATATTGTCCTATTGTCTTCTTTGGATTTTCTCTTTTGAGCTTCCATTAAGGCATTAAAAAGTTGTTTGCTACGGAAAGATTTTCACACTCTTGTAAATGATGTTTTGTTCTCCTCCCAACTAATGTGAGAATCACAATCCACCTCCTTTAGGGCCAACGTCCTTACTGGCACACTGCCTTGTGTCTACCCCCTTTGGAGAACAGTGAGAAGGCTGGCTTGGTGGGACATCACAATCCACCCCCTTTGGGGCCAGCATCCTTACCGGCACACCGCCTCGTGTCTACCCCCTTTGGGGAATAGCAAGAAGGCTAGCAAATCGTCCTCGTGTCTGACTCTAATACCATTTGTAACAACCCAGGCCCACCGTTAGCAGATATTGTCCTCTTTGGGCTTCCCCTTTCAGACTTCCTCTCGTATCGACTTTTAGAGTGGTGGCTAATCAACTTTTGGAATGGGATAGAATTCTGTCATTTTTGTATAATAATGCAATGCTAATTACCCACATGGCTGATGAGGATTCACTTCTTCTTCCACAATTAATAAAACAGGAAAATTAAATTGCCTTAATTCTAAAGCAGCTACTAGGGGAAGGTTTCATATTCTCCTTCCCAACCAGACACTTCCCAACCAGCATCACAATAAAGGCCCTAACCACCACCTCTTCTCCATGGGTCATCAGGCCCAATTTAGAGTCAAAACCAAAACATTTCGAACTGAAATAATGCGAGATTACTTCAATCAAATCTTATTCTCATATTTTCCATCTCTCTTCAATTATTTATGATATAGAAATGAGTAATTCTGCTTCATATTTATTACTTCGTATCTTGTTTAGCTTATGAGATTTCGGATCATTTTACTCTCTTTCAAATAGTAGACTTTTCAACCTTTTTTATTCGTGCTAGTACCAACGTTAAAAATGGGTTGTGTCGTAAGTGTCGAACGATCTAATAAGCGGTAACAAGAGAAAAGAATATTGGGATAAGCTAAATAGAATGGGAAAAGCTAGGACCTTATTTTAAAACCAACCCTTTTGATCAACAAATTTACATATATAATCACATATCAAACTAACTT